TCCCTCAGCTCTTCAGCTCAAGGCAAGGGCTCTACCACTTGAGCTATAGCGCCACTTCCGGTTTTCTAGTGGTTTATTGGAGATAGGAGTTTCATGGACTTTCCTGCCTGGGCTGGCTTTGAACTGCGATCCTCAGATCTCAGCCTCCTGAGTAGCTAGGATTACAGGCGTGAGCCACTAGCGCCCGGCTTCTTTTTTTCTTTTTTGTCTGTCCTGCGTTTTGAACTCTGGGCCTGGGTGCTGCCCCTGAGCTCTTAAGCTCAAAGTGAGCATTCTACCACTTGAGCCACAGCGACACTTTCAGTTTTCTGGTGGTTAATTGGAGATAGGAGTCTCATGGATTTTTCTGCCAGAGCTGGCTTTGAACCGCAATCCTCAGATCTCAGCTAGGATTACAGGCATAAGCCACTGACACCTGGCTCACTTCTGGCTTTTGCTGAGTCTTTTATTGGTGATAAGAGTCTCACAGACTTTTCTGCCCAGGCTGGCTTTGAACAGTGATCCTGAGATCTCAGCCTCCTGAGTAGCTAGGATTACAGACATAAACCATCAGTGCCCAACTTTAAATGGCCTTTTTCTTTTCTTTCTTTTTTTTTGGTCAGTTGTGGGGCTTGAACTCTGGGCCTGGGCGCTGTCCCTCAGCTCTTCAGCTCAAGGCGAGCGCTCTACCACTTGAGCTACAGCACCACTTCCTGTTTTCTGGTGGTTTATCAGAGATAGGAGTCTCAGTGTTTCCTGCCAGGGCTGGCTTTGAACCACGATCCTCAGATATCAGCCTCTGAGTAGCTAGGATTACAGGCGTGAGCCACCAGCACCCGCCTTAAACGGCTTTTTTCTAACAGCTATTTCTTGTGTTGAAACTGAACCACTTAACATGTATTCAGAGACAGCTATAGGAAAAGGGATAGGGGAGAAAGAGAACTGTTAAAAGTTAGATGTTCTCTGGATTAGCAGAGAACTAAAATGGGACATTTGCAAAGTCTACAAACCAAACTGTGGTAATCCTGACACTTTCTCTTCCCATCCTGAGAATATCAGCAGTACATACCCACTGCCATAGATGATCACCTTACTGTGAGACTCACAAGTCATCAATATCTGCCTATCTGTATCCAATTAGGTTTCTTCTGTTAAATGAGCTTTTTTTTTTTTTTTTTTTTTGCCAGCCCTGGGGCTTGAACTCAGGGCCTGGCACTGTCCCTGAGCTTCTCTTGCTCAAGGCTAGAACTCTATCACTTGAGCCACAGCACTCCTTCCAGACTTTTTTGTGTATGTGTTACTGAGGAATTGATCCCAGGGCTTCATGTATGCTAAGCAAGCACTCTACCAGTAAACCATATTCCCAGCCCAAACGAGCTATTTTTAAATAGCTACCCAAGGACCAATAAATATTTAGAGAAAGCATCAAGGAAAGGAAGAAACAAACAGAAAGAAAAATTTGGGACTAGGTGTCGAGCTCAGCGGTATAGCAGGACCCTAGGATTAATCTTCAGCATGAAAGTAAACACCTGACCACCACCACCAACAAAAATCCCACACAAAAGTTAATATTCAAGTATCCTTTCTGAGGAGCCTGTTGAAGGATGTATGTGAGCAAAAGAGGGAAAATGACTGAAGAAAATCTCAAGGTGACAGCAATGTAGTGTCCTGGCTGGTACAGGAAGGCAGAAGCTGTGTGTGGGTGGGAGGACTTCAGGAGAGAAAGATCATCTAACTGGCACAAGCGCTTGAATTAGGCATCCAACAGGCCTACAACACTATTCAGGGGAATAATAAATTTGAAATACACACACAGAAAACCAAAAACAGAGTATTTTCAACTCTGTTTTAGTGATGACCAGTTGTTACAAAGGAATGCTTGATTAGGATCCCAATACCACTGCTTATTAGCTTTGTGATTTTGAGCAAATAGCTTCACCCCTATGTACTTCATTTCCTTCTGCTTTTGGGTATTGGTAACTAAGACTGGTTAGTCCATAAACGTAAAGGTGTAAATCAGAAGGAAATATAGGACTTGGTGGGGGAAGCCGGACTGTGGCTTTAAGTGTCTTGAGGTGGCCATGAGCAGATCAGGGGAGTGCAGCTGACTGGCTATACAGGAGGGAGATTCAAACTGTCATGTGATTCTTTTATTACCTAATGCTTAAGCTTCAGAATTCAACATCAGTATTTTGCTACACTTTGGTTTCTAGCTTGCCAAATTATTTTCTTATAATCACTGACTTAATTTTTCATTTTGAATGGGCCAAATTTAAAAGGAATGAAATAGGTAGCTCATGCCTGTAATCTTAACTATTTAGGAGGCTGAGATCTGAGGATCATGGTTCAAAGCCAGCCCAGGTAGGGAAGTCTGTGAGACTCTTATCTCCAGTTAACCACTAGAAAACCAGAAGTGGTGCTGTGGCTCAAGTGGTAGAGGGCTAGCCTTGAGCTGAAGAGCTGAGGGACAGTGCACAGGCCCAGAGTTCAAGTCCCAGGATAGAGAGAGAGAGAAAAAAAAATGAAATGATATACTCACTTAGGGTGAAAACTGGGCCTGAATCCTTCTGGAAGCTGTAATTCATGCATGTTTTCTGAATTTTCTGAAGAGGCAGTATCTATAAAACCAAGCATTTGTATATTTTTTCTATAGTATATGGTATTATACATTATTTCTATATATTTTAGCCATGCAGGAAATAAGTATATTTGAGAAAACTTGCCAGTTATAAAAACAGGCATAATATACTGTTCCCAATAAAGCATAACAAATACTGGTGTTTGGCTGATTGAAGTTCCTTCTCACAGTCTAACCACCACACCAAGAGCACGGTATTTTGTTTCTGCTCATAGTGATTTCCCACCGGTCATCAGGGCAGTGTGTGGCAGATGAGACATGGGAGGTTTTTCTTTTTTTGGTTGGTCATGAGGCTTTAACTCTAGACCTGGGCACTGTCCCTCAGCTCTTCTATTCAAGGCTAGTGCTCTACCACTTGAGCTACAGAGCCACTTCTGACTTGGGGAGTTTTTGGCGCTGCTTACGATTAAATGACTCAGACACTGAAAACTAAAGCTCACTTAGCACTCAGTCACCTTCACATTTCCCTTTCTCTAGCACTTCAGCAAAATGGAAAAGCATTTATTATAAACTTTTCTTGCACTTATATGTTTTCCTTCTTTTTTTCTGCCAGTCCCTGGGCTTGAACTCAGGCCTGAGCACTGTCCCTGCTCAAGGTTAGGGGCTCTACTACTTGAGCCATAGCGCCACTTCTGGCTTTTTCTGTTTATGTGGTACTGAGGAATCAACCCAGGGCTTTATGCATACTAGGCAAGTACTCTACCACTAAGCCACATTCCCAGACCTTATATGTTTTCTAAGAATAAAGATTAATATTCTAAGAATAAAAATTAATTAATTATTAATAAAGATTAATAAGGATTACAGGTGGCTCACACCTGTAATCCTAGCTACTCAGGAGGCTGAGATCTGAAGTGTGTGGTTTGAAGCCAGGCCAGGCAGAAAAGTCCCCATGAGTCTCTGATCTCCAATTAAACCACTCAAAAACTAGAAGTGGCACTGTGACTCAAGTGTTAGAGCACTAGCCTTGAGTACAAACAGGCTCAGGGACAGCACCCAGGCCAAGTTCAAGCCCCACAACCAGACAAAAAGAAAAAAAAACAATAAAAAACAACTAGAAAGATGATTTAATGCATAAGAGACAGATTTATTTTATTTTACTTTTTAAAAATTTTTTTGGGTCCAGTCGTGGGGCCTGAACTCAGGGCCTGGGCGCTGTCCCTCAGCTCTTCAGCTCAGGGCTAGCGTTCTACCACTTGAGCCACAGCACCGCTTCCAGCTTTTTCTGCTTATGTGTTGCTAAGGAATCGAACCCAGGGCCTCATGCATGCAAGGCAAGCAATCTACCACTGAGCCACCTTCCCAGCCCCTATTTCTTCATTCTTATTCTAAAGATATATCCTACTCTCAGTAGGCTCAATGCCTCTATTCCTAGCTATTCAAAAGGCTGAGATTTGATCTGTGGATCACAGTACAAAGACAGCTCAGAGAGGAAAGTCTTCTCCAATCAATCTCCAGAAAATGGGAATTGGAGCTGTGGTTCAAAGTGGTAGAGTGCTGGCCTGGGGCAAAAGAGCTCAGGACAACACCCAAATCCTAAATTCAAGCCCCATAATCAACCAAAAAATAAGTCTGAGACTGATCGATCACAGTTTGAAGTCAGTCCAGACAGGAAAGTCCATGAGATTCTTTTTTTTGGGTCATCGTGGGGCTTGAACTCTGGGCCTGGGTGCTGTCCCTGAGCTTTTCAGCTCAAGACTAGTGCTTTACTACTTTGACCACAGCACCACTTCTGGCTTTCTGGTGGTTTATTGAAGAGTCTCATGGATTTCCCTGCCTAGGCTGGCTTTGAACCACAATCCTCAAATCTTATTAGCCTTCTGAATAGCTACGATTACAGATATTAGCCAATGTGCCTGGCTTCCATGACATTCTTATCTTCAATTTTTATCTTCAACAAAAAGCCAGAAGTAGAGTTGTAGCTCAGATGGTAAGAGCATCCGATTTGAGTGAAAAGCTAAAGGACAGCATCCAGACTCCAAGTTCAGGCCCCAGTACTGGTACATACACACAAAAATTTTAAGAAAACAGTTTTGAGTTTTTCTGCATCTTTTTAAGTGCTTAATAAACAGTTCTGTATGAAAGAGAGGTATAGTGTCTTCTAGAAATCTATGTAGAAAAACTGAACCACAAACACTACTTCAACATCTTTACAGAATATGTGTTTTACTCTGGAAAGAACGAACTCTCTATTACAAAAATGACTTCAGATCTGTATGTTTAAAAGAAGCAAAACCTACCAGAACCCATATAGAACCTACCAGTCTGCAAGGCAAAGGACCAAATAATGGCTTATCTTCATCACTCAAAATTCTTTCTGTGGGTTAAAAATGATTAATATAGTCAATTTTATGTTGTATTTATTACTATTTTCTAAAAAGTTTAAAAATCTGCATAAAGTACAATATTGTCAGATTTGATAATCCTTAAAATCATTTCATAACAATTATCTTTGAATGAGAAGTAAAAATGAACAGATTCCTCAACTAGTAAATATTTGTAGCAACCACCTCCATGAGTTTTCTATTGCTGTATTTAGTTTATAAGCTGCCAGACTAATATTCTGTCTACACGTGACATTTCCTGCCATTAAGCCCTTTTATTATTTCTTTATATTTTTTGTCCACTTTAAACAGTTAAAACAGGATTCTAGCCGGGCGATGTGGCTTACACCCATAATCCTAGCTACCCAGGAAGCTAAGATAGAAAGGATCGCAGTTTGTAGCTGGCCGAGGCAAAATCAACCATACAAAAACCTGTAGTGGTGCTATGACTTAAAGTGGTAGAGCACTGACCTTGAGCAAAAAAAGCTTAGGAACAGTGTCCAGGCCCTGAGTTCAAGCCCCATAGCTGACAATCCCTCTTCCCCCCAACCAAACCCAGGATTCTAAATATGTGAAGAGGTACAATGTCAGAGTCAATCTCTCACCTATGCTCTGGATAGTGTAGGCACAACTACCCCAACATGTAATGGGCACACGGGGGTCACTCTCATTGGGATGAACTTTCAGTCCCACCTTATAAGTAGCAGTTCCAAATGTTGTTAGCATTTCTTTTATGCTCTCAGAATAAGGGTTCCTGCAACAAATATGTATAGGATTAGTTCAAAACAATGTGTAATAAAATGGCTTTCTTTTTTTTGGTCTTGGGGCTTGAACTTAGGGCCTGGGCATTGTCTCGAGCCTCTTTGTGCTAGGGTTAGCACTCTACCACTTGAGCCATAGCTCCACTTCTGGCTTTTTTTCTTTTTCTTTTCTTTTTTTTTTTTTGGTTGTGGGGCTTGAACTCTGGGCCTGAGCGCTGTCCCTCAGCTCTTCAGCTCAAGGCAAGGGCTCTACCACTTGAGCTATAGCGCCACTTCCGGTTTTCTAGTGGTTTATTGGAGATAGGAGTTTCATGGACTTTCCTGCCTGGGCTGGCTTTGAACTGCGATCCTCAGATCTCAGCCTCCTGAGTAGCTAGGATTACAGGCGTGAGCCACTAGCGCCCGGCTTCTTTTTTTCTTTTTTGTCTGTCCTGCGTTTTGAACTCTGGGCCTGGGTGCTGCCCCTGAGCTCTTAAGCTCAAAGTGAGCATTCTACCACTTGAGCCACAGCGACACTTTCAGTTTTCTGGTGGTTAATTGGAGATAGGAGTCTCATGGATTTTTCTGCCAGAGCTGGCTTTGAACCGCAATCCTCAGATCTCAGCTAGGATTACAGGCATAAGCCACTGACACCTGGCTCACTTCTGGCTTTTGCTGAGTCTTTTATTGGTGATAAGAGTCTCACAGACTTTTCTGCCCAGGCTGGCTTTGAACAGTGATCCTGAGATCTCAGCCTCCTGAGTAGCTAGGATTACAGACATAAACCATCAGTGCCCAACTTTAAATGGCCTTTTTCTTTTCTTTCTTTTTTTTTGGTCAGTTGTGGGGCTTGAACTCTGGGCCTGGGCGCTGTCCCTCAGCTCTTCAGCTCAAGGCGAGCGCTCTACCACTTGAGCTACAGCACCACTTCCTGTTTTCTGGTGGTTTATCAGAGATAGGAGTCTCAGTGTTTCCTGCCAGGGCTGGCTTTGAACCACGATCCTCAGATATCAGCCTCTGAGTAGCTAGGATTACAGGCGTGAGCCACCAGCACCCGCCTTAAACGGCTTTTTTCTAACAGCTATTTCTTGTGTTGAAACTGAACCACTTAACATGTATTCAGAGACAGCTATAGGAAAAGGGATAGGGGAGAAAGAGAACTGTTAAAAGTTAGATGTTCTCTGGATTAGCAGAGAACTAAAATGGGACATTTGCAAAGTCTACAAACCAAACTGTGGTAATCCTGACACTTTCTCTTCCCATCCTGAGAATATCAGCAGTACATACCCACTGCCATAGATGATCACCTTACTGTGAGACTCACAAGTCATCAATATCTGCCTATCTGTATCCAATTAGGTTTCTTCTGTTAAATGAGCTTTTTTTTTTTTTTTTTTTTTGCCAGCCCTGGGGCTTGAACTCAGGGCCTGGCACTGTCCCTGAGCTTCTCTTGCTCAAGGCTAGAACTCTATCACTTGAGCCACAGCACTCCTTCCAGACTTTTTTGTGTATGTGTTACTGAGGAATTGATCCCAGGGCTTCATGTATGCTAAGCAAGCACTCTACCAGTAAACCATATTCCCAGCCCAAACGAGCTATTTTTAAATAGCTACCCAAGGACCAATAAATATTTAGAGAAAGCATCAAGGAAAGGAAGAAACAAACAGAAAGAAAAATTTGGGACTAGGTGTCGAGCTCAGCGGTATAGCAGGACCCTAGGATTAATCTTCAGCATGAAAGTAAACACCTGACCACCACCACCAACAAAAATCCCACACAAAAGTTAATATTCAAGTATCCTTTCTGAGGAGCCTGTTGAAGGATGTATGTGAGCAAAAGAGGGAAAATGACTGAAGAAAATCTCAAGGTGACAGCAATGTAGTGTCCTGGCTGGTACAGGAAGGCAGAAGCTGTGTGTGGGTGGGAGGACTTCAGGAGAGAAAGATCATCTAACTGGCACAAGCGCTTGAATTAGGCATCCAACAGGCCTACAACACTATTCAGGGGAATAATAAATTTGAAATACACACACAGAAAACCAAAAACAGAGTATTTTCAACTCTGTTTTAGTGATGACCAGTTGTTACAAAGGAATGCTTGATTAGGATCCCAATACCACTGCTTATTAGCTTTGTGATTTTGAGCAAATAGCTTCACCCCTATGTACTTCATTTCCTTCTGCTTTTGGGTATTGGTAACTAAGACTGGTTAGTCCATAAACGTAAAGGTGTAAATCAGAAGGAAATATAGGACTTGGTGGGGGAAGCCGGACTGTGGCTTTAAGTGTCTTGAGGTGGCCATGAGCAGATCAGGGGAGTGCAGCTGACTGGCTATACAGGAGGGAGATTCAAACTGTCATGTGATTCTTTTATTACCTAATGCTTAAGCTTCAGAATTCAACATCAGTATTTTGCTACACTTTGGTTTCTAGCTTGCCAAATTATTTTCTTATAATCACTGACTTAATTTTTCATTTTGAATGGGCCAAATTTAAAAGGAATGAAATAGGTAGCTCATGCCTGTAATCTTAACTATTTAGGAGGCTGAGATCTGAGGATCATGGTTCAAAGCCAGCCCAGGTAGGGAAGTCTGTGAGACTCTTATCTCCAGTTAACCACTAGAAAACCAGAAGTGGTGCTGTGGCTCAAGTGGTAGAGGGCTAGCCTTGAGCTGAAGAGCTGAGGGACAGTGCACAGGCCCAGAGTTCAAGTCCCAGGATAGAGAGAGAGAGAAAAAAAAATGAAATGATATACTCACTTAGGGTGAAAACTGGGCCTGAATCCTTCTGGAAGCTGTAATTCATGCATGTTTTCTGAATTTTCTGAAGAGGCAGTATCTATAAAACCAAGCATTTGTATATTTTTTCTATAGTATATGGTATTATACATTATTTCTATATATTTTAGCCATGCAGGAAATAAGTATATTTGAGAAAACTTGCCAGTTATAAAAACAGGCATAATATACTGTTCCCAATAAAGCATAACAAATACTGGTGTTTGGCTGATTGAAGTTCCTTCTCACAGTCTAACCACCACACCAAGAGCACGGTATTTTGTTTCTGCTCATAGTGATTTCCCACCGGTCATCAGGGCAGTGTGTGGCAGATGAGACATGGGAGGTTTTTCTTTTTTTGGTTGGTCATGAGGCTTTAACTCTAGACCTGGGCACTGTCCCTCAGCTCTTCTATTCAAGGCTAGTGCTCTACCACTTGAGCTACAGAGCCACTTCTGACTTGGGGAGTTTTTGGCGCTGCTTACGATTAAATGACTCAGACACTGAAAACTAAAGCTCACTTAGCACTCAGTCACCTTCACATTTCCCTTTCTCTAGCACTTCAGCAAAATGGAAAAGCATTTATTATAAACTTTTCTTGCACTTATATGTTTTCCTTCTTTTTTTCTGCCAGTCCCTGGGCTTGAACTCAGGCCTGAGCACTGTCCCTGCTCAAGGTTAGGGGCTCTACTACTTGAGCCATAGCGCCACTTCTGGCTTTTTCTGTTTATGTGGTACTGAGGAATCAACCCAGGGCTTTATGCATACTAGGCAAGTACTCTACCACTAAGCCACATTCCCAGACCTTATATGTTTTCTAAGAATAAAGATTAATATTCTAAGAATAAAAATTAATTAATTATTAATAAAGATTAATAAGGATTACAGGTGGCTCACACCTGTAATCCTAGCTACTCAGGAGGCTGAGATCTGAAGTGTGTGGTTTGAAGCCAGGCCAGGCAGAAAAGTCCCCATGAGTCTCTGATCTCCAATTAAACCACTCAAAAACTAGAAGTGGCACTGTGACTCAAGTGTTAGAGCACTAGCCTTGAGTACAAACAGGCTCAGGGACAGCACCCAGGCCAAGTTCAAGCCCCACAACCAGACAAAAAGAAAAAAAAACAATAAAAAACAACTAGAAAGATGATTTAATGCATAAGAGACAGATTTATTTTATTTTACTTTTTAAAAATTTTTTTGGGTCCAGTCGTGGGGCCTGAACTCAGGGCCTGGGCGCTGTCCCTCAGCTCTTCAGCTCAGGGCTAGCGTTCTACCACTTGAGCCACAGCGCCACTTCCGGCTTTTCCTTTTTGCTTATGTGGTGCTGAGGAATCGAACCCAGGGCCTCAGGCATGCAAGGCAAACGCTCTACCACTGAGCCACCTTCCCAGCCCATGAGACAGATTTATTTTAAAAAGATAAAATATCATAGCTCCCCAGGAGGCTCAGATCTGAAGATTGTGGGTCAAAGCTAGCTCCGAGCAGTAAAGTCTGGATGACTATTATTTCTAATTAAGCAGTAAAAACTCAGAAGTAGAACTGTAGTTCAAGTGGTAAAGCACCAATCTTGAGTGAAAAAGCTAAGGGACAGTACCTAGGCACTGCTCCAGTACTGCTTTAAAAAAAAAAAGGACAAAAGAAAATTACAATGAATCGGGGGCTGAGCAGGAAGCTCAGTGGTAGAGTGCTTGCTTTGCATGTATGAGGTCCTGGGTTCAATTCCTTAGCACCACATAAGCAGGAAAAAGCCAGAAGTGACGGTGTGGCTTGAGAGTGCTCACCTTGAGCTGACAAGCTGAGGGACAGTGCCCAGGCCCACAGTTCAGGCCCCACGACTGACAAAAAAAAAAAAATGAATAAAAAAAAATTTTTTTTGAGGCAGGATCTCACTATACATTCTATATACCCCAGACTGAACTCAAAGATCCGCCTGCTTTAATCTCCTGACTACTAAGATTAAAGGCAATACCTACTACCTACCTCTGGCTTAAACAAAAGACTTTAATGCAAGGTTTGTAATACTTTAAAAACAAATTTATTCTGGATCTTGTTTTCGGAAGATCTCAGGCTTTAGGGGACAAAAAAAAAAACAGGATACCAGAACTTACTAGGTGCACTTTCTTCTTTTCTAAGAGCCTGTAACGCGTTTATCTGCTGAGATACTGTTCTAATCCATTGAGCCAGATTTGGTTGATGTGAAAAATTTAACCTCCTAGAAAAGATTACAGAGAATACTTAGCACTTTACTATTGTTGCTTAGTTTAAGATAGAAAAGAGTTCTTAAATTATCATGAGTATAATATTTTAGACATCTCAAAGACTTGAGAACAGGTCAGAGGGAAAGTTACTGAAAAAAACCAAACTAAACAAACAACTGAAACAGAACGTGTGTTAGAGATATACACTGGGGTAGAACACTTGATTGAAAAGCATGAGAGTGAAGGTTCAATCACCAGCAGTGGGGGAAGGGCAATCCAGAACAGATATGAAAAATGGCTTTAAAATTTTTTTTAAATTTTTTTAAACTTTTTTGCCAGTCCTGGGACTTGAACTCAGGGCCTGGGCACTGTCCTTGAGTTCTTCAGCTCAAGTCTAGCACTTTACCTCTTGAGCCATAGCACTACCTTCAGCTCTTTGTTTATGTGGTACTGAGGTATCAAACCCATGCATGCTAGGCAAGCACTCTACCACTAAGCCACATTTCCAGCCCCTGGCATTTCTTTCAGTATTGGAATCTACTACAATTTTTTAAATATCACATTTACTACCACATCCAAGATTTATTAACTGCTTATTTGATAAGCTCTTTTATTTTATTTTTTGTCGGTGGTAGGGCTTGAACTCTGGGCTTGGGTGCTGTCCCTGCGCTCTTCAGCTTGAACTACAGCACCACTTCCAGTTTTCTGGTGTTTTATTGGAGATAAGAGTCTCATGGTCTTTCCTGCCTGGGCTGGCTTTAAACCATGATCCTCAGATCTCAGCCTCCTAAGTAGCTAGGATTACAGGTGTGAGCCACTGGCACCTGGTTTGATAAGCTCTTAATAAATGCTTTACTGTAAATGTTTAGTATAATCCTATGTATTATTGTCCCTATTTTGCAGACGGGGAAACTGAAATTTAGAGCTTAAGGTCATAAGAGGCAAACTTGGCCTTCAAACTCAGTTCTGTCAGATTCCAAAGACTGTTATTTTTATAACTCCTCATTTAGGACTATGCAATAATGCCTCTTAAGAGTAAGACAAAACATACTTAAACTACCAAGTCACAGGTGAAATTCAACCAAAGATCATTTCTCCTTACTTGCTTAATCCTTAATCTAAGAATGATTGGTTTCTTAGTTCAAATTCATTTTATAAAATAGGATTAGGAGCATGAATTTACATCACAATCTAGTCATTCCCTCCCCGACTCCCCCCCCACTCTCCCCCCTCCAACCATCTTGGAGCATGAACTCAGGGTGTGGGCACTGTCCCTGAGCTTTTCTGTTCTCTAATCCTCTCCACTTCTAGCTTTTTTGCTGGTTAATCGGAGATAAATTATCATGGACTTTTCTGCCTGGGATGGCTTCCAACCATCCTCAGATCTCAGCCTACTGAGTACCTGGGATTATAGGTGTAGCCACTAGTGCCTGGCTTAGTAATATTTTAAGAATACTTGGTGATGGGTGCCAGTGGTTCATGCCTGTAATCCTAGCTACTTAGGAGGCTGAGTTCTGAGGATCACAGTTCAAAGCCAACCCGGGCAGGAAAGGCCATGAGACTGTTATCTTGAATAAACCACCAGAAAACCGGAAGTGGCACTGTGCTTAAGTGGTAGAGTCCTCGTCTTGAGCTGAAATGCTGAGGAACAATGCTTAGGCCCAGAGTTCAAGCCCCATAACTGACAAAAGAAAAAAAAAGAGAAAAACAATACTTTGTAAGTAACAGACTTCTAAAACATAATAGAAAACATGAGTTTGGTATGGACTGAATCCAAGAAACTGCACAGAAATCAAGGATTAAAATTTCAATTAGGGGCTGGGATGGTGGCTCAGTGGTAGAGCACTTGCCTTGCATGCCTGAGGCCCTGGGTTCGATTCCTCAGCACCACATAAGTAAAAAAAAAACAGCCGGAAGTGGTGCTGTGGCTCAAGTGGTAGAGCACTAGCCTTGAGCTGAAGAGCTGAGGGACAGGGCCCAGGCCCAGAGTTCAGGCCCCACAACCAGACCCCCCAAAAAAACAAAAACAACAAAAAAGATTTCAATTAGTAGAGGCTGAGCTTTCCTGTATTTTGGGGGGCAACAAGAAAAGAAGCAATGATTTCAGAGACTTTCTGATTTTGGAGTACTTGTGCAGACTTTATTGCTGAGCTTCCCCAATCTGAAAATGCAAAATCCAAAATGCTTCAAATTTTGATATTTTATAAGCATCAGCTAGGTACATTTTGGATTTCAGATAAGAGAAGCTGAGCTAGGGTTTGCATGTATTAAAGTAGATAGCACAATTCTAAACTGGAAAGGAAATTAAGGTCTTTATAGTGGATAAGATCAAATTCTTATGTTAAACACGTTCCATAGTCCTATTAACTAAATGCTTCCTAAAATTAGGAAATGGCAGGATTGGTTCATTTTATTTATTTTTTTGGGGTCTGGTTGTGGGGCCTGAACTCTGGGCCTGGGCGCTGTCCCTCAGCTCTTCAGCTCAAGGCTAGCGCTCTACCACTTGAGCTACAGTGTCACTTCGGCTTTTTTCTTTTTGCTTATATGGTGCTGAGGAATCGAATTCAGGGCCTCAGGCTTGCAAGGCAAGTGCTCTACCTCTGAGCCACCTTCCCAGCCCCAGGATTGGTTCATTTTAAATAATACAATTTTTGTTGTTGTTGTTGTGGTCACTGTCCCTGAGCTCTTGTGCTCAAGGTTAGCACTCCACCATTTTGAGCCACAGTGTCACTTTTGGTTTTCTGTTGGAAACAGACTTTCTTGCCTGGGTTGGCTCGGAACCATGATCCTCAGATCTCAGTCTCCTGAGTAGCTTCGATTAAAGAGTGAGCCACCAGTGACTGGCTACATTTTTTTTTTTTGAACATTGATTCCTAAAGCATTTCTTGGCCAGTAAATTGCAAATAATTATTATTCAAAGAAAGCTCCCTTTTTTTTTTGCCAGTCCTGGGTCTTGAACTCAGGGCCTGGGCACTGTCCCTAAACTTCTACCACTTGAGCTACAGTGCCACTTCTAGCCTTTTCTGTTTATGTGATACAGAGCATGCCTGCTTGGTAAGCACTCTACCTCTAAGCCATAGTTCCAGCCCTCTAAGAACTGCTCTATCTGCCTCTATCTTTGAAATGTATGAAAGAGAGATGGAAAGAAAGAGGCCTACAGATAAAGATAGTTGTTTATCATGAATACCAGAATTTTATTATGTTCTATATTATTTATGGGTGAAAAACAACTATTAAAAATAGGTGTGAAGAGGAAGATTTACCTGTTAAAAATATTCCTTGGAGGAGGCAGCAGAGGAATAACAGTATTACTCAAGCATTCACAAAGGGGACAAAGGAACTCTCCATTCTCTACATCATAGCTTGTGTGCAAGCGTAGTCGTTGTTGCCTTCTCTGTTCTTTAGCTTGAACAGAATCAAAATACCTTCACAATTAGAGAACATGAGGTGTCAAAATCAAGTGAGTGGTTATTTATTCCAACAAGACACAAATTTCAACATTTTAAATTACTTGTTTTCCGGGCTGGGAAGGTGGCTCAGTGGTAGAGTGCTTGCCTTGCATGCCTGAGGCCCTGGGTTCGATTCCTCAGCACCACATAAGCAGAAAAAAAAAGCCAGAAGTGGCTCAAATGGTAGAGCGCTAGCCTTGAGCTGAAGAGCTGAGGGACAGTGCCCAGGCCCAGAGTTCAGGCCCCATGACCGTACCCCCCCCCAAAAAAAATTTCAATTTGGAAGTGGCGCTGTGACTCAAGTGGTAGAGTGATAGCCTTGAGCTGAAGAGTTGAGGGACAGCACCCAGGCCCAGAGTTCAAGCCCCATGGCCGACAAAAAAAAAAAAAAAAAATTCAACTATGAGCCTTCAGATAAGCTTTTCTTGACCACTATGAAGAATATATATTACCTTTGCCAACAATGGGCATGCATAATGTGTCCACAGCTACCTGTGTGTGTTCCGCAAGACAGGTCAGGATGCATGAATAATGGATCATATTTTTCTGCATTATAAAACAAAAAAAACCCAAGCATTTAATTTCTTATAAAAAATTAAATTAATTTCTTTAAATTTGTGGAATCCTTAATAAGGACTTTTAAACTTGTTACTATATAAGGACTTAAGGACTTGATTATCTGTGGACTTTAGTGTCCACTAGGAGTTCCTGAAGTCAATCCCCAGGAATACCAAAGGTAACAACATATCCAGTCTTTGTCAATGAAATAGTCTACTTCTCTCCATCAGGCACTAAGCTTAAAATAAAAACAGGTAATTGTCATGAGACTGACTTCAACACATTCAAAGCTGGGTTTCAATGCTCCAATTAAAAAAAAAAAAAGGATGTTTTGGCAGTAAGGGATATGCTCTCTCAAGCAGCTGTCTAATGACACATGACTTGTGTAGAAATAACCATACCTACCATATGTCAGACAAAGTGACAATAAAATATCTAGGCTCATGACAGATCAGATTAGAGGCTGGTTAGAAGCTTTCATTCTAGTGCCAATTTTTTTTTATTTTGGTTGTTCGTAGGGCTTGAACTCTGGGCTTGGGCACTGTACCTCAGCTCTTCAGCTCAAGGTGAGCGCTTTACTGCTTGAGCCACAACACCACTTCCAGTTTTCTAGTGGTTTTACTGGAGATAAGAGTCTCACGGACTTTCCTTACCCGGGCTGACTTTGAACCATGATCCTCAGATCTCAGCCTCCTGAGTAGCTAGGATTATAGGTGTGAGCCACCGGCTCCCGGCTGGTGCCAATTTTTACAGTAAAAAATTCACTTATTGCCAGCCAAAGCTTTTTTCTTCAGGAATTAATGAATGAGAAACAACCTTTGACTTGGAATGTTTTGATTTTTTTTTTTTTGGTCGATCATGGGCCTTGAACTCTGGGCCTGGGCGCTGTCCCTCAACTCTTCAGCTCAAGGCAAGTGCTCTACTACTTGAGTCACAGTGCCACTTCTGGTTTTCTGGTGGTTAATTGGAGATAAGAGTCTCACAGACTTTCCTGCCAGGGCTGGCTTTGAACTGTGATCCTCAGATCTCATCCTCCTGGTATAAGCCACCGGTGTCTGGCTTGGAATGTTTTTAAACATCTAGTTTAAATAACTTTTTTTTGGTCAGTTGTGGGGCGGGAACTCTGGGCTGGGCGCTGTCCCTCAGATCTTCAGCTCAACGTGAGTGCTCTACCGCTTGTGCCACAGGCGCCACTTCTGGTTTTCTAGTGGTTAATTGGAAATAAGAGTCTCACGGAGTTTCCTGCCTGGGCTGGCTTTAAACTGCGATCCTCAGATCTCAGCCTCCTAAGTAGCTAGGATTACAGATACAAGGCACTGGCATGGGGCCTTAAATAACTTTAAGATAAAAAAATAAAGCTATTATTCATAAATAGGGTACTTCAGTCATACTGTGAAGACTTCCCTTTGAGGGAAAATTCACATCCTCCAAGTGAAAGGTTCTGACTAAAGAGGTGCTTTGGGAATTTCTCAGACAACTTCCTCAGGAAGTTCAACAGGTGTCAACATGGGCACATACAAATGGAAAACAAACTGAAGAGAGGAGGCATACAACTGCGTGACTCAGACATAGCACCTCAGATGTGGTTCCCTATTAAGTGAACAATTCTTGCTTATGTTCTGGCTAAATGTAATACCAACCCTATGGAGTAATTATCAAATAAAATCTCCCTAAGTGACCCAACCACACTAAATGGCAGTCAATAACCTTGTCATGACTTACCCGGATCCTCAATGTTTTTTTTTCTGTTTTTTGACAGTACAGTTGATCTTTGAACAAAGGCTGCCAAAACCATTGCCCTATTTTCCACATTAACTTCTTGCTCCTCTTGACACAATATACAGGTAACAAATTGTCTTTGTTCAGGGACCTGAGTTTGTGCTGGGCCCAATGCTGTAAACGTCATATCTGAAATCATAGGACTGTAATATAAAAGGTTATAAATATAATCAATGAACCTAAGGACTTTCTATATACTCATAACACAATAGTTCGGGAATATACATAGCTCAGTATGCATATAATAGCTCAGGTACTTTTTCTTTTGCTTAGTCCTGGGGCTTGAACTCAGGGCTTGGGCACTGCCCCTGAGGTTCTTTTGCTCAAGGTTAGCACTCTATCACTTGAGCCACAGTGCCACTTCTGGCCTTTTCTGTTTATATAGTACTGAGGAATTGAACTCAGGATTTCATGCATGTTAGGCAAGCATACTCTACCACTAAGCCACATTCCCAAGCCCCATCAGGCATTAAAAAAAAAAAAATTGAGATTGATTACATAACTTTCACAAATTGCACAGTATTGTTGGATAGTGATACTTAAAGACACAAATACATTTTAACCTTCACAAGGCAAATTCTCATTATCATGGTCTATAAAGTTTGTAAATTCTATAAACTTTAACAACTACTTTTTTCTACATCGGTGATATGTACATTTCTTTCCTTTTGCTTAGTGTCAGCTGCTCCCTCTTTCCTTCTCATTCCCTCCCTCCCATCGCTACCCTTGAATTGCTTAGTTCATTTTCATCAATGTCCAGTGCAGCTAATGGGCCTCTCTGTTGTATTTTTTCCTGTTTCCTTCTGATTCGAGCCCTCCTAGCTTCCCTCAGATGTGCACATATATATACCATATATGAGGTCAAGAACATAGTCTAGGGACTTTATAGTGGGAGCACAAGAGAAGGTGTAACAATGCTTGACAAGAAAGGTACTCATTGCCTTACTCATGTAACTGTAACCCCTCTGTACAGCATCTTTACAATAAAACAGAATTTTTTTTATCATGTCTGCAATACTCCTGTACATTTGGTTGTACAGCCCTTGCTTTTTTTTTTTTTTGGGGGGGGGGTCCGGTTGTGGGGCCTGAACACTGGGCCTGGGCGCTGTCCCTCAGCTCCTTAGCTCAAGGCTAGCAATCTATCACTTGAGCCACAGCTCCACTTCCGGCTTTTTTCTTTTTGTTTATGTGGTGCTGAGGAATCAAACCCAGGGCCTCATCTATGCAAGGTAAGTGCTCTACCAGTGAGCCACCTTCCTAGCCCGGTTTTTTTTTTTAATTGTGAAAATACTGTACAGAGGGGTTATAATTACATGGACAAGCTAATGAGTACATTTCTTATCAAGCATTTATAGCCTCCTCCTTTGTTTCCCCTTCCCATCCCTTTCCATACAATAAAACAGAATTAAAAAAAAAAGAAAAAGAAAAATATTCTGGGCATATCAACTATTCTAATCTATATGCCATTAAATACACTTCATTTTTATTAAAATAAAAATGAAAATAACACTGAGAAACCAATGCATTTAGAAATGATACGACAATTAAGTAGAGGTCCTTTGTTTCTTGAGTCCTGTTTACTTTGTCATATCTCCTTGCATTTTGAATTTGACATCCATGTATCAGGGAGACCATGTGCTATGTCTCTCTGCTCTTGGCTTACCTCACTCAAAATGATTTTTTCTAGTTCCATTCGTTTCCCTGCAAAGGGCATTTTTAATTGCCTGAAGATTTTCTCATGTGTTAGAGCCATTTTCTTTAATCCTCACTACCCATATGCAACTAATGACAGATGTTGAGCTTAAAGCATCTATTCCTTAAGGAAGGCCAAAAGTCTTTTGTAGAAAATACTACTCATGTGAGGTGTCGATGGCTAACGCCTATGGCTCAAGTGGTAGAGTGCTAGCCTTGAGCCAAGAAAGCTAAGGGACAGCACCTAGGCTCTGAGTTCAAGCCCCAGGACTGGAAAAAAAAATTAAAAAATAAATAAAAATGTACCTGTAAAGTGGGTACTTGCCAGGTGCTGGTGGCTCAAGCCTGTAATCCTAGCTACTCAGGAAGCTGAGATCTGACAATCGTGGTTGGAAAACAACCTGGGCAAGAAAGTCCATGAGACTCTTACCTCCAATAAACAACACAGAAAAAGCTGGAAGTGGCACTATGGCTCAAGTGGTAGAGCCCTAGCCTTGAGCCAAAGCAGCTCAGGGACAGTTCCCAGGTCCAGAGTTCAAGCCAGAGGCCTGGCAATTAAGTAGATAAATAAAGTGGGTGCTGGTGCTCATGCCTATAATTCTAGCTACTTGGACAGCTGAGTCCTAAGTGTCATCATTTGAAGCCAGTCCAGGCAGGAAAAGTCTCATGAGACTCTTACCTTCAATTAACCACCAAAAACCTGGTAGTATACCTGTGGCTCAAGTGGTAGAATGTTAATCTTGAACAATAAATGTCAGGAACAGCACCTAGTTCTTGAATTCAAGCCCCAGAAATGACAAAAAAAAGAAAAAAAGAACCTATAGCCAGGTTGTGATGGATCTCACTTGTAATCCTAGCTACTCTGGAGGCTGAGATCTAAGGATGGAGCTTCAAAGCCAGCCTAGGCATCAAAGTCCATAAGACTCTTTATCTTCAATTAACCACCAAAAGTAGAGTTTTGGCTCAAGTGGTTGTTGAGTGTTAGCCTGGTAGACAAAAGCTCAGGGACAGAGGCCAGGCCTTGAGTTCAAGCCACAGGATCAGCACACAAAAGCAAAAACAAGAACACCAACTGTAAGGAAAAGAAACTTTGTTCCTGAGATTCAATTACGACTTTGTTTACCTATGATCCAGAACAGCAGAGGTGGAGGCATCAAGTTCTAGTGTCTGCTGGAAGAGCTCTCTGTTCTCATCAATGAAGTGCCGCTGCATCTCAGACATCTGGGCCATAACCTTTTCTCTGCGCAGCCTTGCAATCTCAGCCTTTCTCTTCCGCTCAGCTTTGTCTTTGTCTCTGGAACTCTGAAATTATGCTTCATTCAATTAGACCATTATATACTACATGCACATTTTTTTCCAAAGTAAAAACAATTATAAATATTAACTGAAACTATTCTATCATATTAAATTTTAAGAATCTTACCTTGTTAATACAGATTAATAAATAGTAGAACATTAAAAAAAAACTGGAATTTCAAATGTATGAGAATATCCACTGATAACTTATTACAAATAAGTGAATTTGTACTGCACTTGCTGTGTTTTTTCAGTACTATTATATTTATACCTCTTCCATTATGGTTCCTTCTGTATCTGCCATAGGACTGGTGGATGAATTCTCCCTTATCTTCTTAATAGTATTGTACATCTACAAGGAAAAAAGTATCAATTATCCCAAAGCTATGCAACTTTATCATGACATACTATTTATTTCAATAAACAGTAAATAAATAGAACAATGTCACCAGGTGCCGGTGGCTCACGCCTGTAATCTTAGCTACTCAGGAGGCTGAGATCTGAGGATCGTGGTTCAAAGCCATCCCGGGCAAGGAAAGTCCATAACTCTTATCTCCAATAAACCACTAGAAAACCGGAAGTGGCACTATGGCTCAAGTGGTAGAGTGCTCACCTTGAGCTGAAGAGTGCAGGGACAATGCCCATGCCCAGAGTTCAAGCCCCACGACCAACCAAAAAAAAAAAAAAAAAACAATGTGGGAAGTGTTACCTTTAGTATCCACCTAATCATGTCTTTGTGGACCTCCAGATAGGGAGCGTTCTGCAATGTCTCCAGCATAGCCAGTATGCTAGGTGAATTGTTTGGTGCTACCCCAGGCTCTAAAGCAGAGAAAAAAAAAGCACAAAACTGCAGCTAGCACATCCCAGTTCTTATTCCCATAAGACAAAACTGTATTTTCACTGTACTTAGTCGTTTAGGAAGTAATATCACTGAATAAAGTGACCAAAATAATCCTTTTAACCTGAATTCATATAGTCCTACCATAACATATTAATTTATAAATAACCTGAAAAAATGGCAGATTGCTGATGTGGGCTGGGAAAACACATCTTTTGGGCCAGAAAAGAATGGCTTTGTGAAGGGACATGGAAACTTAACTGGACTGCCAGTGACCAAAAAGGGTAAAATAGGAGCAGCAAAACAAATACAAGAGGCAGGATGTGGTAGCATATGCCTACTTCCTGGCACTTAGGAGATGTAAATAGGAGGACCATAGTTTGAGGCCAACATGAGTAGCACACATCTACTCGAAAGTGAGGTCTTGGCCCAAGAAGGAAGACTTGTGTAAGGCCCTGACTTTAATCACCAGTACCACTAAAGAAAAAACTAAAACAATTAAAAAAAAAAACAAATAAAGCACCATAAAAAGTAGAATTTTGGCAAAAAGTAGAAATCTGGCCAGGTGCCAGTGGCTCATGCCTGTAATCCTAGCTACTCAGGAGGATGAAATCTGAGGATCCTGGTTCAAAGTCAGCCTGGGCAGGAAAGACCATGAGACTTATCTCCAATTAACCACCAGAAAACTAAAAGTAGTCTTGTGGCTCAAGTGGTAGAGCACTAGCCTTGAGCTGAAGAGCTGAGGAACAGTGCCCAGGTCCAGAGTTCAAGCCCCATGACCAACCAAAAAAAAAAAAAAGTGCGCATCTTAAGTATGCATAGAACCTATTTTTATATCAGGACCTAATAAAGTACCTTTAATACACAGATGAATAAATATAGCCACAAATGCTAACATTCAACAGTACCCATTTAGAACTTCTCCAGTAACAGGGGTTACAGATATATTATTGTATGTTTTGTTTAGTACAAAGTGTACAATACATACTTGCAATCTTCTGAGTGAAGGTAAATGTTACCACATGCTCTTCTATGACATTCTCTAAGTGCTGCTTTTCTTCTTGTAGGGCCATCCCAATCAAGTGTAATACCTCAAATAAAATGTTTTTTTTTTAAATTTTTTTTTGTAAAAAATAAATCTTACAAAATATCAAAAGAACTCACTATCATAAAAACAGAAAGTTTAAATTTAATAAAAACTATTCTAAGTCCTAACTTTTATTAAACTAAATGATGGAGGTTCATAGTCTAATAAAGAACAGTTAGTAGTCAGGGTGCTGGTGGTTCATGCCTATACTTATTGCTCCTTAGGAGACTGAGATGAGGATCAAGATTCAAAGCCCGCCTGAGCAGGAAAGTCAATGAGACTCTTATCTCCAATAAACTACCAAAAGAGTGGAACCGTGATTCAAGTGGCAGAGCAAGCCTTGAGCAAAAAGAAGCTCAGGGAGTACACAGGCCCTCAGTTCAAGCCCTAGGACTGGCACAAAAAAAAATAAAAAATCAGCATGAAATGTTAAGTGCAAATACTTAGGATAGTTATCACCAGGTGTGATAACTAGGCAATTCCTACAATTCATTATTTTCAGTTTTATATCATCCCTACATTGCAGCCTTGAAAAAAATCATCTAATAATCAGTGGCCAAATTATAACCACTTAAGGCATCTCTCAGTACTAAACTAGGCCTTAATCATCTGAGATTGAAATATATTTCCTCTAATGCCAATTTGCTTGTAGTTTTATTGTTGTTTTTTTTTGGGGGGGGGGGAGGTTCGGTGGTGGGGCCTGAACTCTGGGCCTGGGCGCTGTCCCTCAGCTCTTCAGCTCAAGGGCTAGCACTCTACCATTTGAGCCATAGTGCCACTTCCGGCTTTTTTCTTTTTGCTTATGTGGTGCTGAGGAATGGAACCCAGGGCCTCATGCATGCAAGGCAAGTGCTCTACCTTCTCAGGTAGAGCCACCTGAGCCACCTTCCCAGCCCTGCTTGTAGTTTTAAAATATATCTCACAAAAAGTTCCTAGAAACTTCTTAGAAAACATGTAACTACACTGGGCTATTTGCATTTTTATTGCTTTTATCCTGCTTCCAAGTTTTGAAGGTGATAGTGAGTGGTGTCTCTGTATCTTTTCTTCCATATATGGCAACTAGTTAGCTGTCAGAGACCAGACGAACTAGGTTAGCCAGAAAAAAATAAACATATGTACAAGATAAACACTGTTCACTTTCCCTCAATATATCACTGCCCACAAGTGGTTTCTCACATAGCACTGAGTCTCCAAGGTACCACAGCACAACTTAAATACATTCACAAATGGGAGGGGTGTATACATACACCTTACCCAATGAAATACTTAAACCTGCTGAGACAATCCAAAGAATGGAAGCTGTGGAGGAAGGCTTGCCTTCATTTGAATCCTTGGCTTTACTGCTTTCAAGCTATATGCTTGCAGGGAACCCCTCTGAGACAAAGTCATCATCTTTAACCTAGAAATAAACCACTTCCCTCTAGAGTTCTGAGAGTTACAAATACTGTGCCTGGCAGTCAGTAAGGCACAGAGTAGGCATCCTATTAGCTGCACAGGTATTATGTCAACTTTCATGCTACGTTGTAACAGGAATGTTACATGAACCTCATTGAAACTTGGATGTCTCACCTCTAAAATGGGAGAGTTAATATCTATCCATGGCGTATTTTGTCAATTCAATGAGATGATGTAGGAAAGACTTACATTAAAGTTATTAAGTAATATTTAAATGAGGTTCAAACTTACTACTTTTTTGTCATAGGAACTTAGTAGTCCAAGTTTCATTTGTTCACTTTTTTTTCTTTTTTTTGTGCTGGTCTTGGAGCTTGAACTTTGGGCCTCGGTGCTATCCCTGAGATTTTTGGGCTCAGGGCTGGCACTCTACCACTTGAGCCACAGCTCCACTGCCAGCTTTTTTTTTGATGGCTATTGGTGATGAGTCTCATAGGCTTTCCTGCCTGTGCTGGCTTTGAACTATGATTCTCAGACCTCAACTTCCTGAATAGCTAGGATTACAAGTGTGAGCTACTAGCATCAGGCTCATTTGTTTGATTTTAAGATATGGATAGGGATGAACTCAAGATTCTTTTTGAGACAATTAAGGAAGAAACCCAAGTGAACACATTGGCTAACATATCATGCCGATTTCTGAGTACTATCTATGCAAAGGCCAAGACCAATGATGGGGAGATACACTGGCCAATGGGATGAAGGTAATCATAATGTGGTATAAAAAATCTGCTAGGCACACACTTTCACTGATAGACACCAAAAGAATAACAACATAGTGTATTATGAATTGAGGTAATAAAGTAGATTGGAGTCCTAATGTTTCTATGTATAGAAGTTTTATCTTTGCATCAAAATATTTTGTTTTTTTAATGAAAACCACTGAAATATAAATAGGAAGTTGCGTCCAACTCACCCTTTGCAGCATAGATTCAGACCAGGCACAGCCATTATGTTCCACAGCCCACTGTAGGATGGTTCCCATAATGTACAACATGACATCTGACTGCAAAATGTTAACCAGACTTGCAAACAGAGGGCAGAACGGAGGCAGGACTGGAGGTGGAAGTGCTAGGAAAGAGAATTATTTTGCTCTTTACAAAACACCTTTAAATAAACTCCCCTGCTCCATACTTCTGAGGCTTGCCATTCAGAGTATTCATTCACATAGACTGTAAGAAGTCTTTAGCACTCAAGGCCAGTCAAGTGCATAAACAGCTGCACAGTACAGCAGCAGTACAAAGGAAAACCTTTGTTTTCCCTAGAAATGTCTCAAGATCTGAGATAAAACCATTAATCCCAGGGTGAGTCAAAACAAGTGGTCTTTATATTAATAAAAGAAATGTTCACCTGGAAACTTCTATTTATCTCACCAGAGACAACCATCGTGATAAATAGAAAACAATGCATGGCAAGGTCAAAGAAACTCAAATGAGATTTTTAGAAAGATAAGAATCAAAAGTACCTGTATCTTCCCTATTTTGCTTTTTCAATTTCCGTTGAGCTTCTTCTGCCTAATTAAAAAAAGAAAGTAATTTAAACAAAAATTATAATACAAAACAGTATCTCGTAGTGACATAAATCAATATCTGCTCTATTACTTTTTTTTTTTTTTTGCAGGCCCTGGAGCTTGAACTCAGGGGGCCTGGGCACTGTCCTCGAGCCTCTCTGTGCTCAAGGCTAGCACTCTACCACTTGAGCCACAGCACCACTTCCAGCCTTTTCTGTTTATGTGGTACTGAGGAATCGAACCCAGGGCTTCACGTATGCTAGGCAAGAACTCTACCACTAAGCCAAATTGCCAGCCGCTCCATTACTTTTTGATTTTAGAAAATGTTTACCTTTAGTGCTGTGGTCTCCCTAAATCCATATATCACCCTTAATTTTTTTTTCCCACTAGATTTTCAAATGAGTTCTTTGTTGCTTTAAAATTCAATGAAAATATTGGGGCTGGGAGTTGGCTCAGTGGTAGAGCGCTTGCCTTGCATGCATGAGGCCCTGGGTTCCATTCCTCAGCACCACATAAGCAGAAAAAAAGCCAGAAGTGGCGCTGTGGCTCAAGTGGTAGAGCGCTAGCCTTGAGCTTGAAGAGCTGAGGGACAGTGCCCAGGCCCAGAGTTCAGGCCCCACGACCGTACCAAAAAAAAAAATAATAAATAAAAATAAAAATAAAATTCAATGAAAATATATACAAACTAAAACCAAAAAATTAAGTTTGGATTCTTTGACATGCATCAAAAACTAAATAAAATAGAAGTTCCATGTCTAACACCATTCATTGAAAATATATTTTAAAAACCAATAAAAGGCAAAATTTAACTATCTAATAATGATTAGCAAAACAGCATAAATCCTTGTGGAAAAGTATGTTAAACAGTAACAGTTCTGAAATGTGTAGAAAACAGAAAAGTTATTATAGTACAGGTCAAAAATTGTTGTTTTTTTTTTTTTGGGTCCGGTCGTGGGGCCTGAACTCTGGGCCTGGGTGCTGTCCCTCCGCTCTTCACGCTCAAGGTTAGCGCTGTACCACTTGAGCCACAGCGCCACTTCCGGCTTTTTGCTTATGTGGTGCTGAGGAATTGAACCCAGGGCCTCAGGCACGCAAGGCAAGTCCTCTACCACTGAGTCACCTTCCCAGCCCTCAAAAATTGGTTTTTAAAAGACAACATTTTATATACATATTGCATATAAATAGACATGGATATATAATTACATAGATCATAACTATTTGTACATAAAACATTGTGTGGGAGATCTAAACAGTGGTTTTCTAAGTAATTTGTACTTTCTTTTGTGTTTATTATCTTTTAAAAAAATTTTCAATCTGTAAAATGCAGTAAAAGTTTTCAAGGAAAAACAAATCCAATCATTTCCCACTACATTTAATTTTTGCAATTACCTTAGATTGCTCTGCCCTTGAAAAGTGATAAAAATACAAGTTGAACTCTCTGGCACATTCTGGTTTCAGCTCATACATGCCTCGTCCTGTTAATCCAGGTTTCCTAAGAAAAAAAGGCCTTTACGATTAAAGTCACAAACTAACGCATGAGAATCTTAGATGTTAGAACAGCAAAAGTGGTTCTCATATACTGCTGGTAGGAGCTAAGTTGAAACTATTTTCTTTCTTTTTTAGGTCCAAGACCAAGACTCAAACTCAGTACTTCTTACTTTCACTCATGGCTAGTACCATGCCTCCAACCACTGAAACTATTTTCTGTGGTTAACTTGGCACTACAATCCAAAGCTTTCTGTGATCCTTTTAATCTAGCATGTCCAGTTTGGGTGTATTCTACCTAAATGAATGGAATAGACATGTAACTCCAACAATTAAAAGCCTAATAGGTAACACAGATTACATCTCCAAGCATCAAAACACAAGTAATGCTAATTTCACTATTTTGAGACTTGAAGATGTCTGCAGTAAGTTTTATTTTTATGTAGAAAAGACAGAAACAATACTGAGTTTTAAAGAACCTTCATATAGAGTATAAAAAGAAACCGAATACTACAGAAAATATTCTAAAACATTCTAAATACTTTAAAACATTGTGTCAGTTACGCAAAAAAACACCAAAAAGTCCAATAGCAAGTGTGTTTGTTTAGTTTATCAGGAAGGACCAGAGATATCTAACACATAAAAACGCTATGGAGAGCTAGATGTCAGTGGCTCATGCCTGTAATCCTAGCTACTCAGGAAGCTGAACTCTCAGGATCATGATTCAAAGCTAGCCCAGGAAGTAGATTCCATGAGACTCTATAACTCTGATTAACCACCAAAAAAACCAGAAGTGGAGTTGTGGTTCAAGTAGTAGAGTGCTAGTCTTGAGCAAAAAAGCTCAGGACAGCGCCCAGGCCCTGAGTTCAAGCCTCAGGAGCAGTGCTCATGCTATGGAGCATAAGACAGGTCAAACAGTTGTACTGACCACTGTCAACAAGCATATAACAAGATGCTCAGCCTCACTGGTAGGTAGACTAATTCAAATAAACTAATATTATATTTTTGTTGCCAGTCAGCATATAAAGCTGGAGGAGTAGCTCAGTGGTAGAGCTCATGGTAAGACATTGAATTCAATCACCAACATCAATCACCCTCTCCCTCAGGGAAAAAAAAAAAGTGTGTCTATATTAAAGCACTGGCAAAGTAGCAGAGGGTAAACTGATGTCAGTTTCAAGATACAAATCAAAACCTAACATATGCTTTCCTTTTGACCTAGCAAGTTCCCAAAGAAACATTTTCTTTCTGGTCGTGGGGCCTGAACTCTGGGCCTGGGCGCTGTCCCTCAGCTCTTCAGTTCAAGGCTAGCGCTCTACCACTTGAGCCAGAGTGCCACTTTCGGCTTTTTTCTTTTTTGCTTATGTGGTGCTGAGGAATCGAACCCAGGGCCTCAGGCATGCAAGGCAAGCGCTCTACCACTGAGTCACCTTCCCAGCCCCCAAAGAAACATTTTCATACCAACATAAGCATAGTGGTATTCAATTCCTGTTGTTGATAATGGGGAAAACCTGCCAAGTGCAGTGGCTATCAACAGTGAGAGGTTCAATCTATTAAAGTACAACTATAAAGAAGTAAAGGGTGAAGTCGACCCATGCAGACCAACAAGTAAAACAAACCCAATACCCCCAAGACCACAAATATGGGAACACCCCACTAAAGTTTACTTGGGTGGAGCTCACTGATAAAGTGCTTGCCTAGTGTGCTTGCCCTGAGTTTTGATGTCTAGCCCCACAAAAAAGGGGGAAAAATCCAGAGAGGGAAAATAAACATAACCCCATTTTCGTTAAAGTATATATCTTCCTACCCCCTTATACGTGTATAGATAAGTTATAGAAATAATTTAGAATAATTATCTAAATGTAGTAGAACTCACCTGAGTGGTTGGATTATGGTGAGACTTTTTTCTTCCTACCTTTCTGCTTTTTCTCTAAAAGCATGTACCATCTTTCTTTCCTTCCTTCCTTCCTTCCTTCCTTATTTCTTTATTAGTTATTTTGCATGTACTATCTTTATAATCAATAAAAGTAAAGACACTGTAGTTGGATGGGAGCAAGGAAAAAGCAGGATTAAGAAACTGCTTGAACAACGTTAAGCTAGCTTACTGGTTGGGGGAAACAGAATAATGAAGGCAGCAGTCAGAGGCCATCTCACTTAGGTTGTCTCATTCAAATGGACACAAATTTTTTGGGTGGTACTGGGGTTTGAATTTGGCTTTGCCATTGCTGGACAGATGATCTTTCACCATGCCTCTAGCACTTTTTTTGGGGAGGGGGTCCGGTTGTGGGGCCTGAACTCTGGGCCTGGGCGCTGTCCCTCAGCTCTTCAGCTCAAGGCTAGTGCTCTACCACTTGAGCCACAGCGCCACTTCCGGCTTTTTTTTTTTTTTTGCTTATGTGGTGCTGAGGAATCGAACCCAGGGCCTCAGGCATGCAAGGCAAGCGCTCTACCACTGAGCCACCTTCCCAGCCCCATGCCTCTAGCACTTTTTGACTTAGGTCACTTTTCAAATAGGATCTTATGATTGTACCTGGGGCTGGCCTCAGACTGTGATCCTCCTGCCTCCACCTCCCACAAAGCTTTCTGTGAGCCCTGAGATTACAGACATATACCATCACATCTGGATCATTTGTTGAGAAAGGGTCTTGCTCACTTTTGCCCGAGCTAGCCTCAAACCCTGGTCCTCCTATATCTAGCTTAGATTATAGATGTGTGCCACCATGCCTGGCCCCAAAGAAAGCAACTTTAATACAAAGCAGGTTTAATACTTAAATCACTGCTTTAAATTAATTACAATAATTGAAACCATGAAGTATGAAGACCTATTGTGAATGCTATGATAACCCTCATAATGCAACTGTGTGGTGAAATGAAGGGTTAGATCCTAAGACTAAAAATGTCAATAAGAAATCTAGTTTAGAATTCTAAGTTGAAAGTGCCAGTGAAAGCAACATATTCATTCTCAGCTCATCAATCAAAAGAACACAACAATTGAAAAAAACAAACAGAAGAAACAACTATTAAAACACCACAAAACTACAAGTAACAGGAAGCAAACTCACCTAAAATGTGCAACTGCTTCAATTACACTCTCCATGCCAGTTTCCTTGTTCTCCTAGAGTAGAAACGAGCTCAGGTTAACCACAGAAGTACTAGCTAGCACTGGCACATGGTATCCCACCCCAATAACGCTAATAGCCACTCTGTGAACACAGGTTACTATCCACTTCCTAGAATGAGGGCTCCTCAGTATAATTCAGCTGGAGACTGATTTGTTAAGCGTCCATTCTTCATCCCAAATCAGTACTTTAAAAAAATCACCACCATACTAAACACAATGAAAACACAAAATATAAAAACAATTTTTTTTTTGGTTGGTCATGGGGTTTGAACTTGCCTTGGGCGCTGTCCCAGTGCTCTTCAGCTCAAGGAGAGCGCTCCACTGCTTGAGCCACAGCACCACTTCCAGTTTTCTAGTGGTTTACTGTAGATAAGAGTCTCACGGAGCGGGTAGGGGGATGATGGGATGGGAAGGGGAAACAAAGGAGGAGGCTACAATGCTTGATAAGAAATGTACTCATTGGGGCTGGGAAGGTGGCTCAGTGGTAGAGCGCTTGCCTTGCATGCAAGAGGCCCTGGGTTCGATTCTTCAGCACCACATAAGCAAAAAGAAAAAAGCCGGAAGTGGTGCTGTGGCTCTAATGGTAGAGTGCTAGCCTTGAGCTGAAGAGCTGAGGGACAGTGCCCAGGCCCAGAACCCAGGGCCTCAGGCATGCAAGGTAAGCACTCTACCACTGAGCCACCTTCCCAGCCCCTGTTACTTCATTTTTTATAAAAACATGAAAAAGTCATGGTAATTTCTTTTTTATCAGTAAAAAAGCACTTCCAAGATGTGAATAGAAAGTATTATTAACGAATTCTCTGGTCAAATGTTTAGGAAATACAGTTGCTATCATGGTACAAAAGGCACACACCACCTTAAAAATGCTGTTTTAAATTTGATTCTTCTTTAAATGTAGGTTAAGCAATAACTGCTTCTTTATGTAACAATTCACAATTCATCTTCTGAATTAAAAACTACAAAAAGAGGGGCTGGGAAGGTGGCTCAGTGGCAGAGTACTTGCCTTGCATGCATGAGGCCCTGGGTTCAATTCCTCAGCACCACATAAGCAGAAAAAGCTGGAAATGGCGCTGTGGCTCAAGTGGTAGAGCGCTAGCCGTGAGCTGAAGAGCTGAGGGACAGCGCCCAGGCCCACAGTTCAGGCCCCACGCCCAGCAAAAAAAAAAAACTACAAAAAGAGTGTGTTGGAACATTCCCTTAATCCGATGTCTTCAAGAGGCAGATATCAGGAGGATTGTAGAATAAGGCCAACTGGGACAAAACAAGTTAGTGAGAAATCATCTAAAAAAACAAGCAGTAAGCCAGGCACTGGTGGCTCACGCCTGTAATTCTAGCTACTCAGGAGGCTGAGATCTGAGGATGGAGTTTCAAAGCCAGCCTGGGCAGGAAAGTCCATGAGACTCTTATCTCTAATTAACCATCAGAAAACTGGAAGTGGCGCTGTGGCTCAAGTGGGAGATCACTCACCTTGAGCTGAAGAGCTAAGGGACAGCACCCAGGCCTAGAGTTTAAGCCCCACAACTGACCAAAAAAAAAAAAAAAAACCTGTAGGGCTGGGAAGGTGGCTCAGTGGTAGAGTGCTTGCCTTGCATGCCTGAGGCCCTGGGTTCGATTCCTCAGCACCACATAAGCAAAAAGAAAAAAGCCAGAAGTGGCACTGTGGCTCAAGTGGTAGAGCGCTAGCCTTGAGCTGAAGAGCTGAGGGACAGCGCCCAGGCCAGAGTTCAGGCCCCAGGGCTGGACCCAAACAAAACAAAACAAAACACCTGTAGATGATTCTTGGCTGTGATGCTAGCCTACATACTACAGCCCGGCCTGTCCCCACTCAACAGCACAGCAGCCCATAATCTGCACAGAGTAGGCACAGTGTGAATGTTCCTCAGGGAACAAAACTGTCATTGACTGAGAAGCACTGCTTCCAATGGTCCTGTTCATGAAGACAAATGCTGGTAGGGGGACACAGAATAATGGTTGAGTGTCTGAGAAACAGTCCTATCAAACAGGGTAAAATAGGTGGAAATCTCAGAAGAATAAATGTTATGCTTTGAAGTTTTGATCTTTGGTTCAAATTTGGGAGACAATTTTGAAAAGCCACAGTGAAAATACAGTCTCAATTCTTTTTTTTCTGTTGGTCGTGGGGCTTGAACTCTGGGCTTAGGCACTCACTGTCCCTCAGCTCTTGAGCTCAAGGTGAACGCTCTACCATTTGAGCTACAACGCCACTTCTGGTTTTCTGGTGGGTAGTTGAAGATAAGAATCTCATGGACTTTCCTGCTTGGGCTGGCTTTGAACCTCGATCCTCAGATCTCAGCCTCCTCAGTAGCTAGGATGACAGGTGTGAGCCACTGGCACCGGCATAAAGTCTCAACTCTAAGAGTTGTTTCTGAAAGGCCTTAGAGTTGAAAAATAGGTTGCAATTCAATCCACAATGTCCTTGTGACTATTATTTTGCATTGACTAAAATGAATTAGTGTTCGTTTGTTTTTTTTTTTTGTTTTGTTTTTTTTTGGGTCCAGTCGTGGGGCCTGGGCGCTGTCCCTCAGCTCTTCAGCTCAAGTCTACCGCTCTACCACTTGAGCCACAGCACCACTTCTTGCTTTTTTCTTTTTGCTTATGTGATGCTGAGGAATCGAGCCCAGAGCCTCATGCATGCAAAGCAAGAGCTCTACCAATGAGCCACCTTTCCAGCCCCATCAGTGTTCATTTTTAAGGGGATTTTTGGATACCTGGCTAGGAAAAGCTTTAGAAAACTTGATTCAGGTTAGTCAAAGCAAGTGAGGGGAGTTCTCATTCCCTTCCCCAATGTTAGGGTCTGAAGCTTCCATAGGCAATGGATCTTGGAACTAAAACCCTGCTACTCTCTCAAGTGGACACATTCAGTTCGAAGGTCCAGGTTTCCTTTGCTCCCAGTGTCCTCATCTCTTTTTTTTTTTTTTGGTCCAGTCGTGGGGCCTGAACTCTGGGCCTGGGCGCTGTCCCTCAGCTCTTCAGCTCAAGGCTAGCACTCTACCACTTGAGTCACAGCGCCACTTCCAGCTTTTTTTTTCTTTTTGCTTATGTGGTGCTGAGGAATCAAACCCAGGGCCTCAGGCATGCAAGGCAAGTGCACTACCACTGAGCCACCTTCCCAGCCCATCTCTTTCAAGGCTTTACTATAGACAATTCTAGTCCTATGTACTTTCTACTTCTATCCCTTTAGGCTTCTCTTCTTCTAATTACTTTTCATAGGAACAAATGGAGTTACAATCACCCTAAAAACTGTAGATTTTACAACTGTGGGAAAGTATAAAGAAGTAACTCTTTTCACAGTGCACTAATAGGGAGACATTACTACAATTTTCTTTTTAAAAAATGTAGGTACTTACATCTTCAGGTAAAGATTTCACCAATTCACTGTGAGCCATAGGCTTGATGCTCAACTGATGAATAATTTCCCGCTTAATTTCATCTGTAGCGTTTACTTGTCCAACCCCAGGACTAAATCTTTCTCCTGTCAAAAATGAAAATGTGGGTTTGAAGTGTGGCTCAAGTGGTAGAGCTGTGTATGGGGCAACTCAGTGCAATGCCCTGAGTTCAAACTCCAGTAACCTCCTTCTCCCCAAAAAAGAAAACAAAGAACAGGGCATTGTACACAATTAGTACAGTTGTATGGCATATACCTCTAGTTCAACCAATACAATATATTCCTCTGTTTACATCTCTGCCATAAGAAAACAATAAACAAGTGGCTTGGCAACAAACCAGGGAGAAAGCAGTTCCTAGCACACTTTTAAGTCAGGCCAGGGGGCAGGCTCCTGGCAAGTTCAGAGCACTCAGAGGCAGTTTTGCAGGATGGCTTGGAATGGTGAGACAGAACAGAAGTATTCAAGACTGCTTCCACTCCACCCCATTCTATCTAGCAACAAGCAAGATATCACCTTCTGACAGCTTCATGCCATCTCCTCTCAGTAACCAGGACTCTGTGCTCTATGTATTACAGAAGGGTTGAAACAGCAGGGAGAGAGGGTAAGGGATAAAAGAATGGGAAGAGAGAAGACAAAGGTAGGACTGAAAATACAAGTGGCAAGAAATGAAACCCACATCTCTGGCGTAGGTCTCCATTAACTCAGAGCACATTGGAGTCAAGAAGACACTTGGGCATCATAAAACCTTGGAGAGAAAGATTTAAAGGGACAGAAAGTTGTTTCCGCACGTGCTATCCCTTGCTTGCTAAATTCTGTTCCCTCTCTTCCCTTTTCCCAAAGTCTTCCAGGTAGCTGTTCTGCTGCTGCAGCTGGGCCCTCTGCTCTTTCTGAAGCAGTGTTGTCATTCTCAATATGACACAAACTCAAGGAGAGGAAAAGATGTTCCAATTTCCTTCCCTTAAAACTTAGTGTACCTTCTCACAAGAAATGCTTCTCAGAAATCTGAATTATTTGCTATCCCAAAATGCAACATAATCTCAACTTACCAACAAGCATTATAATGAGGTAGAGCATTTCCTCTATTAGAGTATTGTTCTGCTGAGTAACATCCTGCAAGTAGAGGAGATAAAGTTAGTGATGAGAATGTACATGCCCCCTACTTCCAGATGACTCATATGCACACACAGAATGCCTGGTGCTTCTTTGGTGATATGCTGTAGTCTCAGGACACTGGTGCTTACCTTATGGGTGACCTCAGAACTGAACCTTTTCCCACGCTCTGGAGTACTGAAGATATGGTAAAGTTCAAAGCGGCTGAGCACAACCATCAAGAAATGGTTGGGATCCATCATGGAGACACCTGTCTTTTTTTGTTTGTTTCAGATAAAGGAAAAGAGGAAGGTCAAAGGGGACACTGTACAATTAATTTGCACAAGAGAAAAGAGCTTCCTTGGTCAACAATCCTCGGTCAACAATCCTCCCAAAAGATGGAAACACTTTTAGTCCCAATCCCTACTTCTAGTTGACAAAAATCTAAGTTGGTAAAACAAAACAGAAGGCAAAAAACCTTCCAAAACCTAAAACTACTAACGAGGATTACAGATTTTCTCCAATCTTTCCTTTTAATACTTTGAAATAATTTACTCTTGTGAATTTGGTTCCAAAGTTTTACATCAGGACTCAAACTGCCTGGTGATCACTGTACAGACAGAAATGTCGACTAAACTTCTAGTATTTTAAACATACATCATATTCAATTATTACCAAGCTCTCTTGTATTTTGTGGTAAGAACTATATATGTATTTTTTTTGCTGGTATCAGGACTTGAATTCAGCCTACTGCTTGCTTGGATTGCTTGCTCAGCTAGCATTACATACCTCCAGCCTAGATTTTGCTTGTTATTTTGGAGATGGGAGTCTCATGGATTTTTATTCCTGGTCTGGTCTTGAACTAAGCTAAAATTTTTTTTAATGTATATATATTATACACACACACACACATATACATATATATACACATATATGTATATATAAAATTTGGCTTTTTTAAAAAAGTATTTACAACATCAGCCCAGTGACAAGATAAAGGAATGAGGTACAACCATCACAGTTTGGGGGATGAAAAGCAAATAATCCAAGGTTGTAGGTGCTATCAGAGAACACCCAAGGGTCCAACAGTGCCTCACAAAAGGGTTACTAGGCCAAGTTCTAATATGTCACAGAAGGATCTGTGAATAAAATGATACCAAACTAAATACTAAGAAACACTGGGAAGTAATATGGCTAGGCGGATCAAAGAGGGTCAGGGGGGAATCTAGGGAGCAAAAGAAATAATGTGCAGTTTTCAGTCTTAAAAGAGGGGCTGGCAAACTTAAGAAACTTAACATAGTTAAGTATCATGGACCTTAAAATTAACTTAAAGGATTTAAAATGAAATAACTAGAGAACAACCAATGATTAGAGGGTGGCTCTCAGGTTTCTGACTTTAGCAAGTTGGTAGGCTGTAGAACAATTCATTAAAGCAAAGAGCCTAGGACAGGAAGCAGGTATGGAAGACCAATTATTTTCAACATACTCCATCTGTGACGTGAGGAAATCTAGCCATGTTGCAGAAACTCTTAGCCATGTATGCACAGAAGCTTTAGTCGTTAACATTGGTGGAAAAAAGCAAGACTCACCATAATTTAATTTTTTCCTCTTTCTTTTTGCAGGTCTTGGGGCTTGAACTCGGGGCCTGGGCACTGTCCCTGAGCCTCTCTGTGCTCAAGGCTAGAGCTCTACCACTTGAGCCACAGAGCCATGTCTGGCTTTTTCTAAGTAGTTTTTGGAGATAAGAATCTCAGACTTTTCTGCCCAGGCTGGCTTCAAACCCCAAAATCCTCAGATCTTAGCCTCCTGAGTATCTAGGATTACAGGCATGAGCCATCAGTGCCTGATATAAAGTTAATGTTTTTAATTCATTACCTGAAGCATTACTATATCTTTGTCAAACATCTCACGTCTGCATTTCACATTATGGTAATAATAAATCTAAAAGGGGAGGGAAAAAAAAAAAAGAATTACACTGGGCAAAGGCTGTTATAGCTCCAGCTCCCTCCTTTCCACTTCCACAGGAAGTGCACATGCATGTGTGGTCTCCTCAACTGCCAACACCACCTCATTACATTCTAACTAGATATCCAGTCAGTAGTCACTGAGGTTTACACTTTATAGTCCCCTGGTCTCCCAACAAATAAGACTGCTACTTCAGGAAAGCTTAGCACTTCCAAGAATGGGGGACAAGTCCATACTAAGCCTTGATGAGGTTTAAAATTTTTTTTAATTTTAAAAATTATACTTCAATTTAGAGGTATACAATTTAGAAATATATCCTTTAACTGAAGGTAATTGAAAAAATAAAACTAGAGGTTTGGGGTTTTGTTGTTTTTTTTTGCTGGTCCTGGGGTTTGAACTCTGGGCCTGGGCTCTACCACTTGAGCACAGCATCACTTTCAGCTTTTTCTGCTTATGTGGCACTGAGAAATCAAACCAGGGGCTTCATGCATGCTAGGCAAGCTTTTTCTGATTAGTTTACTGGAGATAAGAGCCAGTTATTTGAACCGATCCTCAGATCTCAGCTTCCTGAGTAGCTAGGATTACAGGCATGAGCCACCAATACCCGGCCCAAAATTGGAATTTTATTATTCACTATCCAAGTCTGTATTTCAAGTCAAAGTCAAAACTACTGTTAGGGGCTGGAAATGTGGCTTAGTGTTAGAGTGCTGGCTTTGCTTGCATGAAGGTCCGGGTTTGATTCTTCAGTAACCACATAAATGGAAAAAGCAGGAAATGGTGCTGTGGCTCAAGCTGCAAAGTGCTAGCCTTGAGCAAAAGAACCTTAGGGACAGTGTCTAGGCCCTGAGTTTAAGCCCCAGGACTGGAAAAACAAAAACAAAAACGAACTACTTGGGCTGGGAAGGTGGTTCAGTGGTAGAGCGCTTGCCTTGCATGCCTGAGGCCCTGGGTTCGATTCCTCAGCACCATATAAGCAGAAAAAAAACAAACCGGAAAGTGGCCCTGTGACTCAAGTGGTAGAGCGCTAGCCTTGAGCTGAAGAGCTGAGGGACAGCGCCCAAGCCAAGAGTTCAGGCCCATGACCGGACCCAAAAACAAAAAGACAAAAACAAAAAAACAAAAAAAAAAAACCCAACTACTGTTACTATTACTTTTAATAAGTATAATATACATGTATATGTATTATATTGACATTTAATTGGGAATCAAACTATATGAACACAATGTTACTTATTGAATTATATTCCTAGACATTTCTTTTTTAGTTTTGTTTTTTTTAATTAGTATAAATCAGTTCAAGAAGGAGGACACACTTCACTGTTAATCTCTACATGTTTATACTACCCAATCAATCTCAACTCCTCCATCATTCATTGTTTCACTTTAATAGTTGCAAATACTCTATTTGGACAGCATTCAACTGCCTTCATCCTCCCCTCAGCCCAACCCATCCTTTTATAACCCACCTATTATCATAGTGTAATTTTCCTTCTCCATCCCCCACTGTCAGCAGCTCTCACTGAGTTTCTCTATGCTGCCCTCATATATACTTGCAATGTATTATAAAGTTATTAATCTTCTTTCTTTTTTTCTTTTCCTTATTCCTTTCCTTTTCCTCCTAGGTAGTCATTTAGTTTGATTCATGTTCCATCATATTTAATTAAATATGGATATATAATACACACATATGTACATGCTTTTGAATATTTCTGGATAAACTATGAAAGTCCTAAGAAACCATCTTATCATTCTATCTGTCTTTTTGAATGATTTTAATACAGATACTGAACTTTCAATGACTGAGTCCACTACAACCTGCATGGAAGCTAATGGGTAGATTGAACACCCTCCATAGGACTTAAAAACATACCTGATTTACGAGAGAGAAGCCATTTCTTCTCCACATTCCAGCATGTACTTGAGCACATAAAACAAGACATCTAAGAGGGTGTTCTATCAACATGGGTGGACTAAGTTCACTCTGCACATTAAAAAAAACACACACATACATCAACGTCATAGGAAAGTTTGTTCACAGAGAAAGGTTTCTGTAAAACACAGGTTAAGATTATTTATAGATCTGGGGCTGAGAAGGTGGCTCAGTGGTAGAGTGCTTGCCTTGCATTGCTTGAGGCCCTGGGTTTGATTCCTGAGCACCACATAAGCAGGGGAAAAAAAAGCCCGAAGTGGTCCTATGGTTCAAGTGGTAGCGTGCTAGCTTTGAGCTGAAGAGCTGAGGGACAGCGCCCAGGCCCAGAGTTCAGGCTCTATGACCTGACCCCTCCCCCCCCAAAAAAAAATTATTCATAGATCTATCTGGCTGTTAATGCTGTGTCAACCTGGGCAAGCTATTGGCACTCTATTTATGTTTTATACCATCTAAATGTTGCTGTGAAGGTGTTTCTTACATGTGATAAATATCTTTTTTTTGGGGGGGTGTCCAGTCGTGGGGCCTGAACTCTGGGCCTGGACGCTGTCCCTCAGCTCTCCAGCTCAAGGCTAACGCTCTACCACTTGAGCCACAGAGCCACTTCTGGCTTTTTTTTTCTTTTTGCTTATGTGGTGCTGAGGGATTGAACCCAGGGCCTCATGCATGCAAGGCAAGCGCTCTACCACTGAGCCACCTTCCCAGCCCAATGTGAGAAATATCTAAATAAGGTGATTTCCCCTCCATAAAGAGAACACGTGGAGGCCTTGAAACAGGTTCATGATCACTGCCTTTGTACTTGTGACAGCCATATCAAGTCTTTTCTGGGCCTTCCCAGTGTGCCAGGCAGCTAGCAAACTCCATTGCCAGTTCTGATCATTGCATGAGGCCTCCACCAGAACCCTTATTGGCTGTTTTTGTGGAGAACTCAGACTAACAAATTTATTTCAATCTGATTTCAATTAATAGCCAGACATGGTGGCTCATGCTTACCATTTCAGCTACCCCTTAGGTGGAAATTGGGAGGATAATTTGAGGCTAGGCAAAAAGATAGTGGGACACATACATAATGACAAAAGAGGGCTGGGAAGGTGGCTCAGTGTAGAGTGCTTGCCTTGCATGCATGAGACCCTGCGTTCCATTCCTCAGTACCACAGAAGCAGAAAAAGCCAGAAGTGGCTGTAGCTCAAGTGGCAGAGTGCTGGCCTTGAGCTGAAGAGCTGAGGCCCAAAGCCCAGGCCCAGGCTTCAGGCTCCACAACTGACAAAAAAAAAAGTTGGGCATGGTGATCTATTATTGTAATCCCAGCTATTCAGTAGAATTGAGTAGGAGGATCACAGTGAAGGCCTGCTGAGGCAAAATTAAGACCTTATCTGAAGTTAAAACACACACACACACACACACAAACACACACACACACAAACACACACACACACACGTAAGAGGCCCTGAGTTCATACATACAAGGAACATAATAAATAGTTATTAACTTTTATTTTGTTTTTTGTGCGTGTTGGTCCTGGGACTTGAACTCAGGGCTGCTGGGGCTGTCCCTGAGCTTCTTTTGCTCAAAGCCAACGCTCTACCACTTCAATACCACTTCTGGCTTTTTGGTAGTTAATTGGAGGTAAGAGTCTTACATACTTTCCTGTCCCAGCTGGCTCTGAAGGATGATACTCAGATCTCAGCCTCCTAAGTAGCTAGGATTACAGGTGTGAAACCACTAACACCTGACAAGTATTAACTTTTAACAGCCAGAAATACTTACTAGAGGTAGCAGTTCTGGAAATTTATATGCCACTTCACTCTTGCTTAATAATACATGCAAACCTGATGGAAGAACAAACATTAGTTTAAATTAACTTTCACTCAAATACTCAAGTTTATTTTTTATTTTATTTTGTTGGTTACGTGGCTTGAACTCAGGGCCTGGGCACTGTCCCTATGCTTTTGTGCTCAAGGATACTGCTCTACCACTATGAGCCACAGCTCCACTTCTGGTTTTCTGGTGGTTAATTGGAGATAATAGTCTCACAGACTTTCCTGCCCAGCTGGCTTCAATCTCAGGCTCCTGAGTAGCTAGAATTGTATGTGTGAGCCACCAGCATCTGGCTCAACTTTTATTTTTATCCTCGAGAACCTTTCAGGACACCAATTGATATGAAATAAACTATATCTACCAATAAAGTTTTTCAGTGGTTATTCTAATGAGTCTGTATGGAAGGGACATTTTAAATAGGTCTTAATCACAAATCCTAACACATAGTGGTGACAAATTCAGAAGTAAAAATGGAAGTCACACAAACACAGCAATGTAGTTCTGTAATTATCAAAACAACTTACACATATTATAGCAGTCCTGTGTTTCCATTTAACGTGTGAATAGACCCCCCCCCCCTTCCTGGCCATTGTACCAGACACTAGCCCTAGATTCACAGTCTGCACCGGCCACCTGCTCAAGCCTGGCAAGAGGTTTTCTTCACCTATGAGAACAAGCACTGAGGAAGTGGTGCTGTGGCTCAAGTGGTAGAGCGCTTGCCTTGAGCTGAAAAGCTCAGGGACAGTACCCAGGCGCAGAGTTCAAGCTCCACAATTGACCCCCCCCCCCAAAAAAAAAAGATAACTTTAGGGGAATTGTTTTACCTGCAAGTAAACGAGAAACTGGGAGATGAATGCTAACTTTTTCTTGGGAAACACAGTATCTGATAGTTTCCACTGAATGTCCACAAATATTCAGTGTGATTGGCTGTTCACCATCAGTGAAACCACCATGACACTGCATCAATACAGCAAGGCATTTCTTATAAGCTTCAATTAACACTTTTTCCTTTAAAAAGAAAAAAAAGGTTTTGTGTAAGTTACACAAGATTGTGTTACTACAACATTGAATAAAGCACCTCCTACAACCACAACTTACATTGATGATAAGTAAGAACTTTAAATTACAAGGGGAAAAACAAAGTTAATCCTCCCCTCCCAAACCTGGTCCTTCTCCCATTAAGTGTCTCCCGCTAGTGAATGATACTTCTTGACAATAAAGCTGTGGAAATCTAGAAGTTATTAAACATTCTTTTATTGCATTTCTGTGTTCAGTGAATTACCAAGATGACAATTACTTTTCAAAATTTCCCTCAAAGTAGCCACTTTCTTCTCTCTTCAGTAACTCCAAAGTAATGCCAACATCTCTCTACTAAATTCCCTGTTTAAAAACATATGTTAGATATCCCTCTCCTGACAGACTCCAAATGGTGCCCCAGTTTAATTAGAATACAATTCCAACTTCTTTCCAAGCCACAAAGGCCCTGTGAAGCCAGGCAGGCCTGTCTTCCTCTCTGCCTTCACTCTGTGCTCCAGACCTTTCACAGTTCAAGGAACATCAGGCCTTCTCATTACAGGATAGAAGTAGTTGCCCTCAGAATCAGATTTTTTTCAGTACGTTTTTTTTTTTTTGCTTGAACTCTGGGCTTGGGCACTGTCCTTGCGCTCTTCAGCTCAAGGTGAGCACTCTACCGCTTGAGCCACAGCACCACTTCCAGTTTTCTAGTGGTTTATTGGAGATAAGTGTTTCAGACTTTCCTGCTTGGGCTGGCTTTGAACTGCGATACTCAAATCTCAGCCTTCTGAGTAGCTAGGATTACAGGCATGAGCCACTGGCGCCCTGCTTACATTTTTTTTCATGCCAGTTCTGGGGCTTGAACTCAGGAAGTGGACACAATTCCTGTGCTTCTTTTCTTTTGCTTAAAGCTAGCACTAGAGCCACAGCTCTACTTCTGGCTTTTACTTTTTTTGGTGATTAATTAGAGGTAAGGGTCTCATGGACTTTTTCTGGCCAGGCTGGCTTCAAACCTCGATCTTCAGACCTCAGCCCTGAGCAACTAGGTATGAACTACCAATGCCTGGCTTTGGATAAATTTATAAACCACTGTATTTATATGCCCAAATTCTAGAAATGGTTATGGAAAAAAGGAATATACTTACATTAAAAAGAGAGAATGTAAATCCTTCTCTATTTTTCAAGGTTTTCCCCTAAGGTTTTAGAATTATTGAATGTTGACACTTTTATTGAATTTATGGATGGAAGGAGAAAACAATGGTGCTCTATGAGCTAAACTAGAAAACTCCCCCTAGATTTCTTCATACTGTACTTAGGATTGTCTGTCCCTCTGTTGTCCTCATGTCCCCGGCCCTTAGAACAAACTCACATCTAAAGCACACCAGTCTTGCATCATTGAAATGACATGTGTTAGTTTCATCTGCAGTGTAAAGGCAGCTTCCCATTCTGGCTCCATTTCAATATGTTGTCCAACTTGACGTGTGATTGGATCCATTCCCTTAAAGTAAAAAGTTTTATAAGAATTAAAACCATAAACTTTCTCTTATATAGAAACCTAAGAAATAGTATAGAAAAAACATAAACTAATTATAAAAACATAAATAGGGTGTGGGGCAAAATATATATTTAAAAGGTAATTTTTAGTGGGAAGCTTCAAGCAATATGAGAAGTCATAGTTTTTTATGACTTTATGTAACATGCTGTTAAAAAAAGTAAATGCAGAATGAATGATTTTTTGGGGGGTCAGTTGTGGGGCTTGATCTCTCGGCTTGGGTGCTGTCCCTGAGCTTCTTTTCCTCAAGGCTAGCACTCTACTACTTAAGCCACAGTACCACTTCCAGCCTTTTCTGTTTATGTGGTTCTGAGGAATTGAATCCAGGGCTTCTTGCATGCTAGTAAAGCACTTGACCACTAAGCCACATTCCCAGCCTTCAAATTCTTTTTTAACTCTACTGATCATAGAAGAAAAAAGATAGGAAAAATCTGATAGGGTGTGTGTGTGTGTGTCTCTCTCTCTCTGTGTATGTGGTGATCAAACCCAGAGCACTAGAGGGTGTGTGTACACGGTGATCAAACCCAGAGCACTAGAGGGAGAAGGAGAGGGAGAGGGAGAGGGAGAGAGAGAGAGAGAGAGTGTACACGGTGATCAAACCCAGAGCACTATGTATGCAAAATACATGTGTGTGTGTGTGTGTGCACGGTGATCAAACCCAGAGCACTATGTATGCAAAATACATGTTCTACCACTAAACTGCAATACCAGGCTTTATAAATGATACTGAACTTATAAACCTATTATAATACAGGTGTTGTGTGCGTCTGTGTGTGTGTGTGTGTGTGTGTGTGGTATGCGTGTATGCCGGTCCTGGGGCATGAACTCAGGGCCTGGGCACCAGCCCTGAGCTTCTTTTGCTCAAGACTAGTGCTCTACCATTTGAACCACAGTTCCACTTCTAGCTTTTTCTGAGTAGTTTATTGGTAATAAAAGAGTCTCATGGATATTTCTGCCTGGGCTAACTTTGAACTACAATTCTCATATCTCAGCAACTTGAGTAGCTAGGATTACAGGCATGAGCCAACAGCACCCAGCTTTATAGTACAGATTTTATATCTAGTCGCTAATATGTTAAGTTTTCACAGGGGCTGGGAGGTGGCTCAGTGGTAGAGCGCTTGCCTTGCATGCCTGAGGCCCTGGGTTCGATTCCTCAGCACCACATAAGCAAAAAGAAAAAAGCC